TGCAGTGAAACTAGTGCTTTCCAAAGTAGGGGAGTACGGGGAGCACGACGACCACACGCACAGCCCCCCGCATTGTAAGTTTTTGTATGAGGGTGAGTTGACTATCACGAGCTGACGTTTTCAAGCCGTGGATGCTACAACGGTAGAAAACAGCGGTGTCTACCCATCACCGGACATTGTGTTTAACGAGCAGATGCCACCACGTCATGTGCCAAACACATTCCCAGCTGGATACGACAGCTACAGCCACTCCCTTCTTTATAGTCAGATGCCCATGGACCTTGACAGCCTGAACATCCCTCTTGATTGGGTGAGTCTACGAATTGGTGTGGAACGGGCTTTGAGCTAACCAATGCTTAGGAAGGTATGATGTCACATCTTGATGTCCAGCAGTACAATGATGCTCAACAACGGTGCTTCCAATAATGCAGACTATCGCAATAATTTTCTCACTTACGCGATAAGGCTTTCGCTTGCTCAATCTGATTCTACATTTGTTAGAAGGCAGCATGTAATAGACTCGTATTTTGTAGGCGATGCGAGCGGTGTCGTAAAGCAGCCGCAATGATGGCCGCGGCATTTTGGCTCGCCATAGGTGATCATCCGTCACTTGAAACATGCATTGTTTCGCCACAATCTGCGATCTCGCGGAGAACAAAACTCTGCTAACCACCATTGCGGATCAGTTTACATCCGTATGAGAATGCGGGTTGTTTCGAGAGAGGCTCAACAACTCGGGTTCACGAGCTTGGGACATGTGGTAATCACTGCTGGTCTCACCAGCGCAACACTATACCCAGATTCGTCACCGCACGAAGTACCGACGATCGCCCATAATGCCTGCGTCGTATTTGGATCGAGATTCCGAAAATCAGGACGCGAAAGCAACCAGATGCGGGATGGCGGATCCCTTGCTTGTAGGTAGAATACCATGCCGCCGATCCACACATTGGTCATGCAATCCCGCAGCCCGCAACAACTCAACTGCGGTTATCCATGTACTTCAAACATGAGAATGATGATTTGCCGGCAACGCAGCTGCTACGTCATATCCACTGTTTATTGGGTCGATTGTACATAGGTTGTCATTCTGGATCAAATCGCATTGTATTCGCTATGGGCCGTTGCTCACTCTCTCCTGCTACTGTCAGCATATCCCATCATTTATTATACTACTAGCGCTTCTCGAGCAAGATGATGACACAAATGGAAATCATGCAGGAGCTTGATGGGATCCGGTATTCCAAAGAGGTGCCATGTATCGAGCCTGATCTGGGAGATCTGCGAAAGTCGACTGACAAAGCCCTGCCGGGACTACCGAAAACACCAAAGAGGGTCTTGAAGAAGTACCGGTTTTCTGCAGTGTTTCCCATGGTGCTTGCGATTGCGAGTTTCGTTCTGACCCTGACATTGGTTCTGGCGGGGCAGGACGCACATACCTTTGGCGGGCAATATTTGGCAGCAGTAAGTTATGACCGGCAATATCAGTTGATACACGGGCTCACAGCTGCAGCTATACATTCCTAGCGCGAGCCAGGTCCCAGTATACCAAGATGTGAAAGCTTTCGAGTCGTCTTCAGCCACAGACACGACGGAAACGGGAAACGTTTACTACCTCTACTTGCACAAAGTCTGCTATTATTCTCTCGCCCACGGTAGCGAAGCCACTTCTGATATCTTTGAGAGGACATGTACGAGCTATGCCACAGTAGCTGCAGGTGCGCGAACATTCTTTCCAGATATTTGATCGTATTCGCTGATGAGGTTACTCAGAATTAGCAATGTCGGCCTCTTCAAGCGATGCATCAACCGCAAACTCCGAATCCATGAGTTTAGGGAGTAGATCACTTACGATGGTCTCGACCACTTTGGTTAGCGTGCGAATAGCTGTTTTTGCATCACTCGTTATCTCGCTTGTTGGGTCCCTTTTGTCTACGATATTGGCCATTCCAGGGATCATCTATCCACACTCTCGGATCCTGGCATATATGAACATCATGTGGCCACTTCTCGCAAGCACATTTGGTTTCCTCGCGGCCACCCTGCTTACCATTGTGATAGCTGGAGTGTTTGCAGCGGTCGACGGGGTCGTTAATGAGGTTGGTGTCGAGGTCCGGCAGGGAGGATCAGCGTTGTTTCTCGCATGGTTAGCATGGGTCCTCATCTCGCTGTCTGTTGTTTATTGGGGGCTTGTGTGGTTTGTGGAGGTGAGGAGATGGGGTTTTGCAAGGAGAAAAAGGAGTGAGGAAGAAGTGGGGAATTGGAAAGGGATAGGGCGAGAGGTCTGGTCCCATTTCAAGACAGAAGAGCCATATCATTGATTAATGAATTAGAAAACACAGACACAATTGTAAACCTCAACCACGCAACACCTTTGCAAAGTCTGGATCTGGGTCTGGTCGCCATAGGTATACAACTGTTCACATACTGGAGGCGGGCACGTGACCGAGGTCTGGAAGAAGGGATACAGGTTCCTGCGCTAGTGGGTGGGTGGCGGAGGGCGGAGTGGATATCATCAGCCAACCATGGGGCGACATGGGCCCACCGCCTCAAGCGCCAAGGCCCAGGGTCCTCCATATGTACTCCACAAACTAAACTTCCAGCTCAACCCCTCCGCTCCCTACACTTAATCTGCAATTGTCCCTGACAGCTGCAACCATGCGGTCCTCAGTCTCTACCGCCACCGTGCCCTCAAAGAGCCCTGCGCCTCGTGGCTTTACCGTCAAGGCTGACGAGCAGCAAGAACCGAAATTCGAGAACGAACATGACCACTTCTTCTGGACGTACACCGAGGAGCCGCATAGGACGCGCCGAATGGCCATTATCAAAGCCCACCCAGAGGTACTGCTGTTTGCTGGTATTATCATTGAATCTCCTGACTAATTTGTGCATAGGTAACCAAGCTCTGTGGCCCCGAGCCGCTCACCAAATACGTTGTCCTGCTGGTCGTGTCGATACAAGTCGCCTGCGCATACCTCCTCCGCAACACGCCTGTGCTATCATGGCCCTTCTTCCTCACAGCATACGTCGTCGGTGCCACGGCCAACCAGAATCTCTTCCTTGCTATCCACGAGATATCGCACAACCTAGCCTTTCGATCGCCACAGGCAAACCGACTGTTTGCAGTCTTTGCGAACCTGCCAATTGGCATCCCATACAGTGCCTCGTTCAGGCCCTACCATCTCACCCACCACAAATCACTGGGTGTCAATGGCCTTGATACCGATCTGCCAACCGCTTTCGAAGCCATCTTTCTTGACTCGGTTGCCGGAAAGGCCTTCTTCGCGACCTTCCAGATCCTTTTCTACGCCCTACGACCCATGTTCGTATACAGCTTGCCAATGACCAAGATCCACCTCTTCAATGTTGTTGTACAGTTGGCCTTTGACTACCTCTTGGTACAGTACGCTGGTGGAAGGGCATTGGGCTACCTCATCATGAGCAGCTTCCTTGCTGGATCCCTGCACCCTTGCGCAGGCCACTTCATTGCCGAGCACTACGTTTTCGAGAAGCCCAACAAGGATGCTGCGAATCCCGCCAACAAGATTCCGCTCCCTGAAACGTACTCATACTACGGGCCTCTCAACATGTTGACTTATAACGTTGGTCTTCACAACGAGCACCACGATTTTCCTGCCATCCCATGGACCCGCTTACACGCTCTCAACAGGATTGCGCACGACTTTTACAAGGATCTGCCCCAGCACAAAAGCTGGGTATACGTGCTTTGGCAGTTCATCTGGGACAAGGACATCAGCCTGTGGTGCAGAGTTAAGAGAGAAGAGGGCGGAAGAAAGGTTGGTGGCGGAGGTGGATGGAACGAAGAGGAGTTGGGCTCAAACGAGAAGAAGGGGCCTATCCCCGGTGTGTTGTAATTATTGGTGCACTGTTTGCATAACTGGCATTTTGATCGGCTTGGTGTTCTAGATTACATGAAAAATAGAAGTCGGTTCCGTTGAACTCTTTCCTTATACAATATTATCCGATTGTAAGACACTGTGTAGTACTTACGATGGAGTCTATTTCCCCCCTGATCCCATTACATACTCTTTTTTTTTTTAAAAAAAAAGAAATGGATGAATATTAGCATACGGATACACAACTTCCAATGGTGCATGTTGGATAGAATAAATATACACTTCACAACTGGGCTTGACGTTTTCAAGCTACAATGTATTCGGAAATTCCACTCCACTAGTCGATTTGTCCTGCCCAAGACAGCTGTTTCTGACTCCCGAATAGTGATAGACCAATGACGTGATCTGAGGTTTCACTATCAATTGCTGCTGCTGTTGCTGCTGCTGCTGCTGTTACTGCTGTTGTTATCGGTATTCTTGCCGCATGAACAAGAGAGAATGGCACATGATTTGTTGGGCTTCACTCCAACACTTCAGCTGACAAATGAGTCGTTGTCAGATAGCCAATAAGCGAAGACAGTACGTTTCAATTAGTATACTTGAAGTGAATTGAGAGAAAGGCTGCCTTTCTCCATCTTTGGTGAGAAAAATATGGGCGGTGAGCTACTTTTGTGACTGTCTTGCTTGTTTTGTATCGATATATCAGGATATTTCACGACACACTGCTCAAAACTCAACTCAAGACACTGACAAACTTCAACACCGACAATCCATATATATCATCCTCTCTAACTACAATTGACTTGGCTCATATTCCAATGCCATACCCCAAAGTCTCAGTCACCACCGTTTTGTTTTCACTTGGTCTGCGTCGAGTCTGGCCCGTGCTGGCCGTCCGTTTGCCTCTCACATGGAGTACGCGCTGCAGCCTTAAAACTCATCTTCACTATGAAGAAAAAACCGATCCGTCTTCACCTTTCACTGCGGTGACTCAGTCTTGGCGGCAATTGCTCCACAGATATAATATCGCTCTCCGGCTCCTCTCCCACCTCTTTTCTACTACGCCGTCAGTCGAACCTCATCCGGACGCCAACAGCAGCAACAGCAACAACAACAACAACAAAAACAACCTCCTCTCCCAGGATGACAGAACCAATCAATACTGACAAACCTCCCAGATATAGATCTACTCCCCCATCCCCGCCCACAGAGATCGTGACGCTTTCGTCACCCGCAGCTCCTGGCTCCGTCTCCGACTTCGAGGACATCTTCAAGATGTCTCCCCTCAACACCGATGCAGAGACGGAGACCGACATCAACGCCGCTCTCTTGACAATGTCGTTCGAGGTCCCATTGGGACCTCTGTCCGGCTACGGCAGCGCTCCCAAGTCAGTCACTTACTCCACTCACTTTCATATTGAGATATCCGCTAACCATTATTTTCGTGTGTTTGCCAAACAGACCAGCCCCCAAGTACAAGAAGCCAGCTGCTAAGCTGACCAAGCCCATCAGTGAGCAGCCCGACTACGCGTACTTGTTCAAGGGCTATGACGCAGATGCTCTGGTCCTCACGGACCAGCAAATCAACAGCCCTGGTCAGGCTGTTGATGGGAAGCAGCATCATGCTGAGCCCTTGGGTCAATCTCCCCTTTACGGGGAGACTGACTCTGATGACGGTGACCCGTTCATCTACGACCGCATCACCTTCCTTCCCTCCTCCTACCACAACACTCTCGACGAGGACGTCCCCCCCTCTGTCAACAATTCCTTCGGGTACGGAAGTACCTTCAACTCCGAACCTCCTTCTTCCCCATCTTCAGCTGCCAACGGGCTCGACTCCGGCGACGAGGCTGATTCTGAAGACAACAATGATGACGATAACGATTCTCACGACTCTAACGATGACGCCGACGACGACGACAACGATTCCAGCGATGCCGATGACGATAACGATAATGAAGACAAAGAGGGGGAAGAGGAGCAAAACAACAACGACTTCTACAACCCCGAGGACTACTTCACCGACAACAACAACTACAACTACTCCGACAACAACGAATCCGGAGACTCCCCCTCCCGTTGCAGCAACCTCTCCACGCACCCCTTACTCCGCCCTCCTCCCATCTACGCCATCGCACCGGAGTTGATGTATCAAACACCTCCTACAGCACCAACGATGCTGCCCCCTGCGCCGCCCCCCACACCTCTCGCTCTACCATCCAACGCACCACCCATCATCATTCCATTCATCATTCCGCCCAACATCCAATTCAACAACCCGCGCTCCTCCGATCTCGAAACCCTCGAGACCCCGAACCGCGCCGTCTGAGGGAGCCGCCGGCGTGGATTCTCACTTTGATGTTGGTGTTGAGAACATCACTACTGATCGCAATAACTTGCTTCGTGTGTGCTGAACCATGCGCGGAGAAGTTTTGGATTTTTTGGCCCACCCGTTTTCGAGTTCGCGTGATGAGTTGGATGATGAGGTTTGAGGGTTCTTTTGGCGTTATGGCAAAGTGGTTGTATATTACTGGGATGGAGTTTATGGGGATTGTGTATGAGTATTGAGGTACTAGGGAGGGGGTTTTTTTTTCCACTGGTGGGGAAGTATTGCGACTTTTAATGACTGACGCTTTGCGGAGATTATGGTCGAGATGTTGCATCGGCTTAGATATCTTGACTCCATACTATGCTTTATCAAGGAATACAACTGGTAATGGTGGAAAAATGTGTGCTTTGCTTGATTGTGATGGCTTTTGACTAGTGTGAGGTTGATCGTGGAGTGACTTCATGCTACATCACACATGTGTTTGTTGTTTTATTGACATCACTCTCTGCAAGTCTAATATCACTTTATCATATTCTACTGCATCAAGCCTACGCGACGCACCAACATCATTTATCCCAGAAGACTCAACCGCTCAAACGACTTCACGACAGGCGCCTCGCGCTTCTTTCCCACCTCCTGCAGACTATCCCACAACGTTGCATCACCACCAGTCGGCTTCAGAACTTCAGCTTCAGCTTCAGCAGCAACACCATTCTCAACAGGTGCCGTTTCAGTCGCGGGTAGGTACATCTCCTTGACAGCGTCCTGGCATCTCTCCATAACTTCACTGACAGCATTCGACACTGCGTCCGCGCGCTCTCTCATACCGCGCCTGACGAGACCCTCGACAAGACGCTGAATCTCGTCTTGCATGCTGTTGATACGCTCAATCAGACGTTCGATAGAGTTTGTAAGATACTCTTCCTCGTATACGGTGCCCTTCTTGCCGCGAGCACGCTTCCTCTCCTCGCGACGCTTGTTCTTACTTGTCTTACGCGTAGTCGTTGTGTTGACCGTACCGGTTTGATTCGTGTACCTCGTCATGAACGTTCCGCCAGATGTAGTGTCGGTTGGAGCGAGGGAGATATTGTCGGGGATATTGGCGTCGGCACCGCCGTCCATCATGCCCTCGTAGAAAGCCATTGGATCTTCTGCCTTCTTGGTCCTCAGTTCCTTGAGTCGAGGCACCTGTGCTTGCAGTTGGCCCTTCATATCAGCGAGGAATTCCGTCATGTCCGCACTGCGCTCCACAAGGCTGGGATCGATGACTTCGGTAATGAGATTGGGTTCGCGGCGTAGTGTGACTATGCGGATGGCTTCAGCAAAGTAGCAGCCACGGCAGAATAGTCGAGCTGCAGAGGAAAGATCCAACAGATAATCCAATGTAATCGCCGCTGCGGAGAGATAGTCCTTTGATTCCGACAAGCCTTCCGCCATGTCTGTTGCAATGGATGAGAGCTCTTCAGCACTGACTTCAGCCAGCACCGCGCTTGATAGCGCTTCGCGCCAAAGGTTGGCGGAGCGGTAGCATGGCCATGCGGACGAATAGTCCCCTAGGTATTCATATGCTATCGCAGCTTCCTTGTTCTTGTTGTTCGCACTTAAGAAGTCTGCATACATGCGCATGATCTCTCGGAGACGGGCGTTGTCGTATTGGTACATACTCAATGCTTGCGAGTAAAGATCATGCTTTTGCACGTATTCCCGCACCTCTCCGAACTCTTGGAGGTCATTAAGATGTTTGAGTGCCTTTGTTCGGCGTCCGAGTTGATCATCGATTCTGAACTTTCTGCGTATCTCGGGCAGGTCTTGCAGGGATTGCAGATGTGGAAGATATTCTCGAGGATCCTGCCATAGTTAGAATTGTGCCAAAACAGGAGAAGGTAATTATGGTTACCTTTTGTGACTGCTGAGCGATGAGCAATACAAGCTCGAGGTTGTACAAGCCTAATGATGTATCGTAGAGCTGATTGACATCGGCAAGGAAACTGATATGCTCAGCGGCTTTGTCGGTTAAAGGATCATTCAATTCTAAACTGCGTTAGTCATCGTCAGAAAAGTAATTCAAACCAAGTACCTTGAAGACGTCCTATCATCTGGAGTCCTGTCTCGAGTGCTGGAGGCGTCTTGGAAACATGGGCTGTGATGATATTTTGCAGATGAGCATCTTTGTATTGGGGCTGTTCCAATACTGCAAGGAACGCATCACAAATTCGGTTGACCTTTTTCTCCACTTGCTCCTGCGAAAGCCTCGATTTCGCTGCCAGGTCCTTTGTTTTAAGAGTTTCCTTGTACATGGTTTCGGAGACATCCTCATTCCTAATAGTATTAATCATCAGGGTCTTGCAAGATTATAGCTCTACATACCGAAGCTGAGCTAAGAGCAGGTCAATGTGCTCGACCTTTTTAATCTGCGTGATGATCTTCTCAAGACTTGCAAGAAAGCGCTCAGGGTCATGGTCGTGGAGGATGTTCAAGTCCACGCGCTGGCTGCGGCATGCGAAGAATGCTTCGTCGTAACGCTCTGCTTCGATGTTCCGCCGTATCGCAGCAAGCACAAGCGCTCGAGGGTATATTGTCTCTAGATTTCCCCTAGGCATCTGGAGTATGACTGAGTAGGTTGTCGGGATAACGGTAATGATCTTCGCGCCTCTCTCGATGCTTCTGCATCTCTCGTCCTTTTGCGGCTCATCTGCAGGCACCTCAAGATCTGAAGAAGTCAATATAGAATCAAAGTTCGTATGCGTATCAAATCTTACCATCTACATTGGCGAGGTGAACGAATTTCAGGAGATGTTGAGTCGTTGTGAAAATAAGATGTGCAGGCGTGACCACGAAAGATGTGCAATTGCGGGCCAATATTCGCTCGTTGGCAAATAGGGCTCCGCTCTTGGTCAACCCAAAAGTCAATGTCTGCAGAATTTAGTCATTGATTTCACTAAATTGTGGGTAATTTGCGCACCTGTCCTTCAAACTTGACTACCTGAACTTCAGGTGCAAATGCAGGAAACTTGTTTACAAGTGATGTCTGAGGAGGCAAATCCGCCGCCATTTCATCTGCATTGATCTCATGTAATGCACCATTCTGAAGCAAGGTGTAGAGTGCGTCATGGTCTATGCTGAATAGCAAAGCAGAAGCGCCATCAGCTTCCATGATAGGCCCCTGAGGTAATAGTGTCTCCCCTTCAGATCGCCAAAGGGAACTTTCGTCTTCTTCCCAGCTGTCTGTTAGCACAAATATTTGATCGCCACCAACAAATGAAACGTGGCGTGGACAGTGGCCGGAGACCGCATCGCTTTTCCAGAGGAAGACAGGCTTTGGTACTGGCCGCTTGTTGAGGTCAAGCGCATATACTGATAGATCATGCTGCGAAAGTACAGCCAAACGAGTGCCTGATTTTGACAACGCAACATCGACAGTTTTGGACTCGAGTGACAAACTGTGAAATGCCATTGGAGGAGGAACATTTGCAATACGCAGTGGGGTGAGCTTCAGGACCACTGATTGATGTCAATCACAAAGCTGTAGATATATGTGAATTGGATTACTTACATCCATCTATCGATGCAACCATGCCGAAATCATTTGGCGGTACAACTGAGCCAGTCGAGGTCGTGGATGCATACTCGAGCACCTCAAGAGCACCTATTATTATGTCAACTACTATACAACAATTGGCTATGAACGATCACTTACCAGGAGTTGAGAGGGCTACTACCAAAGGACGTTCTGCATGCCAGTTACACATGACCGTTTTCGTAGCAGCTTCTGGGAATGGTAACTCCTGTTTGAGATAGTAGTGGTAATTGCTCATTGTCCATAGCTGAACTTTGTCCGTGTATGAAACGGCTAGAACGTTAGAATCACTATTCCATGCAAGTGTTACAGGTTTTTCGATTGTTGCAAGCTCTTCGGGAGTAAATCGAAGATCGAATTGGCCATGGCGAAGCCCGTTGCGCTCGAAAAAAACCACTTCGACCTTGTCGCTGGTACGTCGGGTACTGGCAATCAGATTCCCAGATGGTCTCCAACTGAGAGCTCCTTCCAAGCCGTCAACAGGCTCGCTCACACTATCCAGCGTTCCCTCTCGGGAATACACTCGAATCATGCGACGTCTCTCCTCTTCAACTTTACTGACAGCGAACCAAGCACCATCTCCTCTCCAGCTGATAGTGACAGATCGATCGTCAAGCGGACTCAGTACGCCTTCATCGACGGTCTCTGGTACTGTTGGATCCTGCAATGCTCTAGCTCGTTTGCCTTTGAACTGTGTCTCTTTCTTTCCCCATCCTACTGAGACATGACTGGATACGTTGACGTCTTCGGGGGTCAAGTTGACGCTGGCTATGTTTTCGATATCACGACTCATCAGCAGTAGCGTATCCGCCTGAGTGGTAATAGCGAGGAGTTCCTCATCTGGCGACCAAGCAGCAGCAGAGATGCCTGCGTCCACCGAACCCACAATCTCGACTAGCTCTTCATTCGACGATGGGTTTTCTCTAACCAGTACAATATCCCCGCCGGCTAAGATTAGACATGATGTCGAAGTGTCGGAAAAATGGTGTAGACTCAAGATTGCGTCATGAGTAAGCGAGGGCAATGGACAGGGCGCATCCCACGATGCAATATTCTCAAGTTTTTCCTGACCACTGGCGCGTGTGTGGTGTAGTCTTTTGAGTTCGATAGTCGCACGTGATTCCGAGGGGCCAAAAACGCATATCAGTGCATTGGATGCAGCGTCCCAGGCAGTGGCCGTGAGCGGAAGTGGCTCCTCTCCAGCAAATCGCAGGAGTGATCTCCCCACAATCTTGAGATTGCGCATCGCTGGAGGATCATATGTTTGGTGAGTGTTGGTAGTTTGTGTTCTTTGATGGCTACAATATTCGAGCGCTATGAGTGGTCGCGAATTTTTGGTGATGCTAGCGCCGAGCTTCTACCGAATGATAATGCGTCACATCATTACAGTCGACCCCGGCGGTGTTGCGAGTGGAAGGGCCAT